CCCCACCTGCGCCATGAGATCCACGTAAAGGTCAATGGGGAAGTGACACTTGAGGAAGATCTGGAGGAGCTTGAGGAGCGGACCACGGAGACATCAGGGTGTATCAGTCGAGAAAGCCGGGTTATGCTGCAGTGACGACCATCCCCCAGGGTCTCTGTGGTTTTAACAACAAACGACTTTTCTGGCGCACACCACCTGTCCAGTGCAGGTCGGCAGTGGGGGAGGGGGCTCCACTCAGCAGAGCTACTTGGGACGTGGCTAATGGAGCAGCCACCACCTGGAACCTTACCACTCGCTGTCCCGGAAGGAAAGAGAGCCCTGGAGGGTTCCGCGTGGACAGGTCAACGCTCTGGTCCAAGTGTGCACGGGTGTTTCCACTCTCTCCTCGTTGGGCAGGACTCATCCTGGGGCCCTCGCCAGTTACGGGGGGATGGGAAGGGCCATCTGGACTTATTGCCGGAAATAAGTAGGGACAGCACCAATGGGAATGGCGTTCCAGGCAGTGGAACTCTCCGAGCCTTTGGAAGAAAGACGAGGAGTCTCAAGAGCATCCTTCCCAGTATTATGATGATTCTGACAAGCGAGCAGGTCCCCGTCTCCCCGCACACACCTGCCGTTCACCTGAACTGCCCGAGGAGGCGAGGACCAGGAGGGAGGTTGGCGCCCCCACATTCTGTGCGATCGCGGAACAGCCGTGGCATCCCCAGTCTTTCTGCTTGGGAAATATATTTCCCGTTTCCCTCCCCAGCAAACCCCGGGAAAGCCCACCTCCTGATCAAAAACTGCACCCAGCCCTCTGCCAACTTCCTCTCCATGAGTTGTGGGACCCGGAGCAGGGAATTGAATAATCTGGGCTAGACTGGAAAGAGAACAAGTGTGTCTAATATCAGGCAGCAGAACCCCAGTCCCCAGGGAGAGAAAAGCAGAGGAGGGAGGAGGGAGCACGGCTGGGGATTGAAACTGGGCTGTGCAGGGAGCCTGGACCCACCTCTCATTTAGTCATTCAACAAACATTTATTAAGCACCGCCTGCATGCCAGGCATTGTGCTAGGGAATACAGCAGGGAACCGACATTCCAGCTGGGGAGAGGGATGGTGAGCAGGAGAAATAAATAAAGTATAGAGGAGGAGAAGCGTTAAGGGGAAAAGCAGAGCAGGAAATGGGATTAGAAATGAAGGGTGCAACTGTCGAGGGCCTTCAGGGAAGGCCTACCTGAGAAGGTGTCGTTTGAGCAAAGACCTGAAGGAGTGAGGGAAGAGCCATTAGGAATCTGGGGGAAGAGCATTCCAGGCAGAGGGAACAGCAGGTGCAAAGGCCCTGGGGCGGGACTGTGCTTGGTGCTTTGAGGGGCTGCAGGGAGGCCATGTGGCTGGAGCAGAGTGATCCAGGGGGAGAAGGAGGAGATGAGGATGGGGAGGTGACAGGGGCACCTCTGCCGTTTGGTAGCTCGGTGACTGTATTCGTTTTATGTGGCTGCCGTCACAAAGTACCACACTCTGAGGGGCTCAAAACCTCAGGGACGTATTCGCTCACAGTCTGGAGGCCACAAGTCTGAAATCCAGTGTCAGCAGGGCCACGCTTCCTCTGAGACTCTGGGTGGATCCTTCCTGGCCTCCTCCCGGCTTCTGGTGGTGGCTGTCAATCCTGGGTGTCCCTCAGCTTGCAGCTGTGTCCCTCCAGTCTCTGCCTCCGTTGTCACACGGCCGTCCTCTCCCCTGTGTGTCCCTGTCTTCACCCGGCATTTTCCTCTTCTTAGAAGGACACCAGCCCTGTTGGATCAGGGCCCACCCTCACGACCTCATCTTAACTTGATGGCAGCGGTAAAGACCCTGTTTCTAAATGAGGTCACACTCACAGGGACCGGGGTTAGGACTTCAACACATCCTTTTTGGGGGACGCAGTGCAACCCACAGCAGGGACCTTGGGCCTGGGACTTCCCCTCTCGGTGCCTCACTTTCCACCCGGAGGATGGGGCAGATTGCATGCTGCCTGTCGGGTTCCCGAGAGGGTTCAGTGAGCTCAGAGAAGCCGAGACCCTGGCGCCGTGTGTGTCTGTGACTGTGCTGGGTGCGCAGCCCCAGGCTGGGGCGTCCTGAGCCTGGCGGGGAGCGGGGGTGGGGGCGCGTCGGAGGTGGAGGAGCTGCCTCGGCACCGGGGTCCTCACTGCTTCTCCGGGTTCAGTCCTGCCGCCTCTGTCCCCGTCCCCAGCCTGCTTCCCCAGGCGGCTGGCCGTTTTCTTCTGTTGCCGTGGCCGGCCTTCTCTCCCTGGGCTATATTTAGCCCCAAGAAATGGGAGCGAGAGCCTCGGCCGCTGCAGCATCGGAGGGAGAATGCTGCAGCCAGTCCCGCCTCCTGTCCAGCCCTGTTCTGCTGGCTCCATTCTTTCTTCCAGAACCTTCCAGAAGCAAACCGTTGGAATTTGGGGGCTTATTAGAACCAGGACGTGGGCTGGGGGCCAGCACATTCGTTATCCCCAGATGAATGTGTCCGTGATGAAAGTTGGCTTTTTTGTTTGTTTGTTTTGGTTTCAATTTTTTTAATGCATAAAATACACCCAACATGAAATTCACCATCTTGACCATTTTTGGGTGTCCAGTTCAGTGGCATTGAGTACATTCCCATTGCTGTGCAACCTTCCCCACCATCCCTCCCCAGAACTTTCTCATCTTCCCAAAGTGAACTCTGTCCCCATTAGACACTGACTCCCGCCTCCCCCAGCCCCTGGGAGCCGCCATCCACGTCCCGTCTCTGTGGGCGTGCCTCCTCTAGGGACCTCCTGTAAGGGGGATCGTCAATATTTGTCTTTTTGTGTCTCGCTTATTTCACTCAGCATAATGTCCTCCAGGTTCATCCATGTTATAGCAGGTGTCAGAATTTCCTTCTTTTTTAAGGTAAAGTTAACTTTCTTTAAAAAAAAAAACCTGTTTATTGAAGTAAAATGAACATAGAGAAAACCCCACAGATCATAAGTGAGGAGCTTGATGAATTTTCAGAGACTGAACACACCCGTGTAACCAGCACCCAGACGGGAAACAGAACCGTCTCAGCCCAGAGCCTTCCCGTGTGCCCTCCGCGGTCCTGCCCTCCCCAGAGGCGCCCCGTCTGGACCTCCAGCATTGTTGGCTGGTTTGCCTATTTTTGTATTTTGCATAAAAGGAACCTTGCGGATATGCTCTTTTCTGTCTGGCTTCATTTGCTTGACGTTAACTCTGTGAGGTTTCATTCGACAAGTGGCAGGCATTCATTGCACAAAATTCCACTTATTTATCACGTCTCCTGTTGATAGGATTCAGATTGTTTCCGGTTTGGGGTGTCATGAAGATCACTGCTCTGAACATTTTTGCACATGCCTTCGGCATATGCAGGTTCACGTTTCTGTTGGAGAACTACCCAGGAGTGGAATTCTCCAGTCATAGTGAACGTGCATGAATAACTTTAGCGGGAATAACAACCCATTTTGTACCATGTGTTATGGGTTGAATTGTGTCCCCCCCAAAATTCACATGTTGAAGTCCTAACCCCACACCCCAGGATGTGACGGTATTTGGAAATGGGATCGTTGCAGGAATAGTTAAGATGAGGTCGTTAGGGTGAGCCCTAATCCGATATGACTGGTGTCCTTATAGAAAGGGGAGATTTGGACACAGAGACAGACACCTGTACAGGGAGAGCATCACGTGACAATGAAGATGGACATCGAAGTGATGCATCTACAAGCCAAGTAACCACCAAGGGTTGTCAGCAACCCCCCAGAAGCTGAGGGAGGGGCCTGGGACAGATCCCCCCCACACACAGCCTCAGAAGGAACCACTCTGCCCACACCTTGAGCTTGGATTCTGGCCTCCAGACTGTGAGACAATAAATGTCTGTTGTCCTGAGCCACTCGTCTGTGGTTCTTTGTCACAGCAGCCACAGGAAGCTCACCACATCACCCCCCATCTGCTGCACGTGAGGGTCCAGCTCCTCCAGAGACTCACCAACACCTGGTAGTGCCGGCCTTTCTCGTTTTAGCCCTTCTGCTGGATGGCGGCAGCATTGCGTGTGCTTTTAAAGGTGAGCTTTTAAAGCCACGCTTGGGGCCCTGAATCCTGAGATGCCGCAGAGCTGGTGACCCACCGGAAGGCTCCCCAGCACAGAGGCTAAGTTCATGGGCTCTGGGGCCCAGCCACGTGGTTCCCGTCCTCTGCCCACCACTGTCCAGCTCTGTGACCTTGGGCTGGTGATATTGCCTTTCTGGGCCTCAGTCTCCTCAAGTGTAAAATGGGCATGATGATAACATAGCAGTATCATGAGGATTAAATGGTTGAGTGAGCTAATATAGATAATGTGCTTAGAAGACTGCCCGGCACACGGTGCATACCCCGTAACTGCTGGGTTTTATTTCTCTCTCTCTGTTCTCGATCTTCTTCCCCTCCTCTTACTTCCTTCTCACCAGTGTTCTGTTCTCCACATCAGAGAAAAATGTTCTATATTTGTGGACTTCTCCCCCCTTGAGAATTGATCCAGGTACTTCTGGGAATTTTTTGTGATTGGCGGTGAGGCTTCAGGGACTAGAGGAGGGGGGCTGTTAAGGAAGAGGCTCATGGCCCTGCTGTCTGGCCATCAGACCCTGCCATCCTGCGCCTCCTCGGTTGTGACTGTGTCGGGGAGAAGGGAGGGAACCAGGGTTCATTCCTGCGTTTCAGTGGGCTTTGTTTTTCCTCCTCCTCCTGGAGTCTGGCCTGGGAAGTCCTCCTGACTTTCATGCTGGTTCCAGGTGCTCTGAGGACTGCATGGTTGGGAGGGGGCTTTGTCCTTCTAATGGTGCCTCTGGGCCCTCCCCCACTGGTTGATCCCACGCCCTCCACTTCCCTCTCTGGGCTGCTGGAGCTCCGGGACTCCACACGTCAGGGATGTTTGAGGACAGAGCCCCGAGAGCACCAGAGCTCCCCCTTCCCTGCCTGTCAGGTCTCACCTGAGGCCACTCGATGCTCACCTGCTCTCCCCCCTTGCCCCTGCAGAGCAACGATGCCTCAGGGAACACTTGGAACTGGTTGTACTTCATCCCCCTCATCATCATCGGCTCCTTTTTTATGCTGAACCTCGTGCTGGGTGTGCTGTCAGGGTAAGTCTGCAGTCCCCCCGTCCCACTCTCCCTCACAAGCTTCTTCCCAGGAAGAGGCCATCGAAGCTCTGTGTTCATTCCCCAGGCAGAAAACAGGCCTCTTCCCTTGCTGTGGGTTAGCCAGACAGTTTTTAGCAAGCCGTATCCAGGTGCATAGGTTGTGCACTGCTGGGGGCATCTGGTGAAGGGGCTCGTGGGAGCTGAAGTCCAGCCCAGCCTCGACTCACCGAGCTGCCTCCACCCAGGGGGAGGGGAGCTTCTTTCCAATGCAGCCCTCTCATCCAGAAGGTTTTCCCCAATTTTTCAAATCCATAAGCTACCACACAAGAAAATTCTATAGATCTTTATTTTCTGTAATTTACATTAAACAAAACAATAGTTTGGATTTCTCTCTCCCCTGTTTTCCAAATATAAAATCATAGCATATAATCAAACATGCATTTTCATGACACACATGTTCCCTACCCTCAACATTGTTCTTTTTGGCTTAATCATAAGTGGGTTTTATTTTTCTCACCACAAGAAATCTGGGAACTGGTATGGTGGCTCCATGGTGCCATCGGAGACCCCAGTTCCTTCTAGCTTTCTACTCTGACATCCTTACCAGAGGCTTTCAATCTCATAGATACCTCATGGTGTCAAGATGGCTGCCTCATGCTCACAAGATGGCCATCCCATGTTCCAAACAGGAAGAAGAAGACAGGAATTAGGAAGAGGTGGAAATCTTTAGCTTATGTCTTGGCCTAACTTAAAAGAAGGCTGAAAATATTCTGTGGCCAGGAGCACCGAGACTGAGAATGGGGTCTGCAGCCAGCAGTGGCTGGCGTGGCACAGTTTATGGTTTTACTTTTTTCTCTAGCTGGGTGCAGTTGTTGGAAAATGTGGGAAGCTGGCAGAAATACCCACTGCTACAATATCCTCCTTTGTTTCAGCTCTATTGGGGTATAATTGACAAATAAAATTGTGAGATATTTAAAGTGTACAGTGTGATGATTTGATATTATAATATTCTGATCTTCTCCCAGAAGCCCTGATTCCTCTTGTTGAAATCCGCTGCCCTCCAGAAGCTTCTGAACCCCCAAACACCCACACACACAGACTCCCTGACATTTCTACAAGCGGACCTGGCTTTTTTGCGCTTCTGCAGGGAGTTTGCCAAAGAAAGGGAGCGCGTGGAGAACCGACGAGCCTTTCTGAAGCTGAGGCGGCAGCAGCAGATCGAACGGGAGCTCAACGGGTACATGGAGTGGATCTCAAAAGCAGGTGAGGCCTTTCATCCTGGGGCCCAGGCACCGAAGTCCCAGGCCAGGGAGCCCACGGAGAGCCACGCACGGTGTGAAGATGGACGCGGGGAGGGCCGTGCTGGGAGGAGAAAGAGGATAGTCTCGATTCTTAGCAACAAGAATCCAGAGGATGGTATTAAAACTTCTGGGATGAAACCACGATATGACATTGCGTGACGGTTAAGAGCTCTGACACCAGACTCTGGCTTACATCCCCGCTCCTAGCCATGCCCCTCCCTCCCTGAGCCTCAGTTTCCTTGGCTGTTAGAGATAATGATACTACCTGCCTCACAGGGCTGTTAGGGGGTTCAATAAGATCATCTGAGCTAAGTCACATAGGAAGAGCAGTGCCTGACACACAGTAGGCACCTGTTTGTTTGTTCAGCCATTCAACAAACACTTATGGGCACCTACTGTGTGCCGGGCACTGTTCTAGGCACTGAGGATACAGCAGTGGACAAGACGGACTGAATCCATGTCTGGGACTCTGATGCTCTAGTGAGGGAGACATAAAATAAACAAATACGTATAATGTGGGCACTGCGAAATGCTGAGAAGAAAAATAAAGCAGAGTAGGAGGCAGAAAACGGTCAGAAAAGGCAGGGTGATCAGAGAGGGTCTCTCTGAGGAGGTGACGTCTGAGCAGAGACCTGAAGGAAGTGAAGGAGGAAGCCCTGTGGATGTCTAGAGGAGGGGTGTCCCAGGCAGAGAGAACAGCAAGTGCAAAGGCCCTGAGGTAGGAGCAGAGTTGAGTCATAGCAAGGAAGCGAGTGTGGCTGGAGCAGAGTGAGTGAGGGGAGAGTGGAGGGGGTGAGGGCGGGGAGGTGACGGGGGCCGGATCAAGCAGAGCCTCATAGGCTGTGCTGAGGATGTTGGTCTTTATTTCGGGGAGGTGGAGACAGTGTTGGCTGTTTCTGCTGTTGCTGAGGCGGGGCTGGGAGTCAGAAAGAATTGAGCAGCACGTTTCTGGGTGGTGAGCTGTCACCATCAGCAAGGGGAGAGTGGAGGTGGCGGTGGGCCCGTCTCCCCTCTGGTCCAAGGGAACCCGTCCCAGGAGACTCCCCCAACACTGGAGCTTAACTCTGTGCTCTTCCTCCTCAGAAGAGGTGATCCTCGCCGAGGACGAAACCGACGCGGAGCAGAGGCATCCCTTTGATGGTAACTGCTCTGCACCTGGCTCGGCAGGGGTGGGGGGAGGCGGGAGCAGCTGGTGCCGGGGAAGCAGGCCGCTCGGTTCTAAGGGGCCTCCAGGGGGATGTTCAGGGCCCCGGTGATGCCAAGAACAAACACAAGCAGATCAGGCTCAGGAAGACACAGGCATGGCGGGAATCTGCTTCCTCGGAGTTTCAGGACCCCGACAGAGGGCTTTCACCTTCTGGCCTGCCCTTCCTGCTGTAACTGTCTGCTCTGGGCCTCTGTTTTCCTCATCTGTAAAATGGGCAGGCTGATAATAGTACCTCCCTCACTGGGTTGTTTATGAGGATTACATTAATTCTGGCAAAGAGAGTGCCTTTGCCAGAATCAGCAGTGCCCAGCGCACAGTCAGCACCGTTTGTATTTGCCAAATAAAAATAGATAAATAATAATAACTCCCCCAAGAAGCTAGCTTGCTGTTAAGGACAGTCGTCGCACACGTTAGACGTCTGGCCAGACAGGGCAGCGATGCTTGACTGGAAAGACCAGGAGCGAGGAGGAGGTGAAAGAGCCAGGCTCTGTGCCGGTGGGCTACAAAGGGGGCTGTGCTATTTGGGGAGGGGACGAGATTGCCCACGGGGGCGTCTGAATCACTTTGTGGGAAGTGCATGCCTGAGCGCACTGTCCCCTGGAGGGCTCCTCGGAGAGCAGATCCTAACTACTGAGGGAGGGCGTCCACGGTCCCCGCCCACCTGCGAGTGTGCTGAAGGTCGCGGGGGACCGTCTCCCTAGGAGTCCCCGTACGTCCAGCCGCAGGGCTCCCAGGGGGCAGTAGCAGCTGAGAGCCAGACTTAGAGTCAGAGCGAACGAGAGTCAAGTCCTGTCTTCTCCCCTTGGACAAAGTCAGTAACCTCCCTGAGCCTTGGTCTCCACATCTGTAAAATGGGCGTACTGTTCCTTCCGTCAAACCGGGTGGAATCCAGTGACACACAGGAAGGCCCTGGCACAGCGCCTGGCACCGAGGACGCGCTGGGTCGACATCGCTGTTGTTGCAAAAAGGGTAACGTCTTTTTCTCCTGCCATGTTTCCATTGTTGGAGCTCTGCGGAGAGCCACCATCAAGAAAAGCAAGACAGACCTGCTCAACCCTGAGGAGGCCGAGGACCAGCTGGCCGACATCGCCTCTGTGGGTGAGTCCCTCCCTCTGCAGCCCGCGGCGGTCGTCACCGGCGCCAGAGACCGGGATTGAGGGCGAGGCAGCCAGGCTGCCTGGGTTTGGGTCTGACTCTGCCCCTTACCGCCTGTGCGTCCTGGGGCAGGTGACACGATTATGGGAATAACAGCCGTGCCCATCTTCTAATACGGTTGTGAGGATTAACTCACTAATCCATGTACAGCATTTAGAAGAGCACCTGGCAGAGAATAAGCTCCCAATAACACTGCCTGGTGTTATTCATTCATTATTCATGAATGATATTATTAGTCATTAGTTCACTGAGGGGCTGCTCTTATTAGGTGCCCAGTTGTGAACAAGACAGAGGCTAAATCTCTCTGCACGTGGAGCTGGCAGTCCCAGCGCAGGAAATAGATATTAAACAGATAATTACACAGATAAACCTGTGATGGTAACGGCACTGCAGAGGAGAAGCCCCAGGCTTGGCCTGCTCTGGAAGAGTGGGGTGTGATCATGGAAGGCTTCTCAGAGGAGGTGACAGGAGAGTTGAGAACTGAAGGTTGGGGAGGACTCCGCCATGGTGGTGATAGCAGAGAGGACCATGTGGAAGGCTGTGCTCAGACTGTTGCCACTGGTTATTGCAGAGGGCGAGTTGGAGGTGGGAGGGGACATTTACTCACCTCTTGCCTCTTGATTGGGACTGTGTTGCTTTTGACCTTCTCCAAGGAGAATATATTATTTTTTGAAATGGGTTTAAAAAAATTCCAGTAATGAAAGAGTAGGTGGGAGAGCACCCAGAGTCGGAGGGGAGAGGGCATTTAGGCTGATGGGGAAACTGTGGGCGGAGCATAGAGGGAGAAGGGGGGAGGGAGGAAAGAGGAGGGAGGAGGGATAGACACACACACACATATATACACACATATATAGACACATACACACACATACACATAAACACATACGTACAGGTGTTTCTAACCCACAGGCACCGGCTACTTTATACCCTGCTCTTTTCCCTCAGCCCCAGTGTATAACCCTTCCTGCTGAGTTCCAGCACGGTTTCCGCGCAGCGGGACCCCACGAGGGTGGCTACACTGTAGCTTCCTTAGCCGAGCTCTGTTACATGGTCTTTGAGCCGTTTCCAGTGTTCGCCCTGTCGAGGAGCACTGCTGTGCACATTTATGTACAATTACCCCCCCACCCTTTGGGCGTACTTCCTTGGGGATAATTATAGGATCAAAGATATTAACAGCTTTTCAACTCATTATTCACAGAGCCACTCTGAGTTTCAGATACACTGAACCCATTTATAAACCTGCCAAGCACGCGTGCCTTCCCGGATCCCCCACCCCGGCCATCTCTCATGACCTGTTTAATTTCCTTTCCTGTTAAGTCAGTTTGTAATGATACCTTAAAGCTTGTTTTAATTTGCATTTCTAATTTCCAGCCCAAACACTATCTTCCCCGTAATGATGACCCAGTCCTGCTTCCACTTGTGGATGCGTCTGTTTCTCTCCTTCCAGCACGTTCTGGAATTGGAGCGCTCCATCGATGCTCCGTGTGTTCGATCGGTTATGTCTGCCCCACATACTTTCCCAATTAGGTGGCTTCCATTTTTAAAAATCTGTTTTGTTATGTTTTGATAGGCAAACACTTTTTATTCATACCACATTTATTCAATGCCAGGCACTGAAAAAAAATTGGGGTACCCACGTCAGGATCTCCTCTATGGATAACATTGGGTACGTGCTCTTAATTATCAGGGAGATATTGTTTTTCATCGATAATTCTAGAAAAGATGAAAACATGATAATACTCAGTGTTGGCAAGGATGCATGGAAATGGGCATTGTCATATGCTGTTGGCAGGAGTGTAATTTGCAGTTTTTCTGGTGTATGGTTTGGCATTATTTAATCGTAGATGTTTGTATTCTTTGACCTAGCATTTCCACTTCAAAAGCCTCCTCTCAGCAGCATTGTATCTGGTGTTCAAAAAAGTAAAAACCAGCAACAACCCATGTGCCCAAAAATAGGGAGATGGTTAAAGAAATTATAGTATTTATTCATAGGGAAATCTTATGCAGCCAGGAAACAAGAATGGAGTTGCTACTGACATGGAAAGATGTTTGAAATATATTTTTCAGTGAAAAAGCCCGTTGCACAACAATGTAAAATGTATGATCCTGTTTAAAAAACAACGCTAAGAAGTGTAAGAGGTACTTAAAGATGTGGAAATTGGAGGATTACAAGGAATTTTCCATTTTTACGGGATATTTCTCTGGAATGTATGAATTAGTGACATGCATTACTTTTGAAATCGGAAAAGTAATGAGATGAGTTTCAAGCGACTTAAAAGCAGCCGACACTAATTGTAGGGAATCCAGTGGCTGTGCAGGGCAGGGAGGAATTTGGTGAAAACCCAAAGAAAGCTTCGTGAAGGAGGCATTTGTAAACTGGGCTTCACGTGGAATGGGGAGAGTGTGTCAGTTCACTAGGGCTGCCATCACAAAATACCACAGACTGGGGGCTTTAAACCACAGACATTTGTTCCCTCACAGTTCTGGAGGCTGGAGTCCAAGATGAGGCGCCGGCAGGGCTGGTTTCTCCTGAGGCCTCCCTCCTTGGCGTGTGGACGGCCGTCTTCCCCGTGTCCTCCGGTGCTCGTCCCTCTGTGGGTGCCTGTGCCCTAATCTCCTCTTCCTATAAGGACACCAGTCATATTGGAGCAGGACCCACCCTCATGACCTCACTTTAATTTAATTCCCTCTTCAAAGGCTGTATCTCCAAACACCATCACATTCTGAGGTCCTGGGGGTTAGGACTTCCACATATGAATTCTGGGGGACACAGTCCAGCCCATAGTGGGGAAGCCCCGGGAGACACTCGCAGAGGGCTTGCCTGTGGGAGACCCCGCCCTTGACTCTGGCTGGCGTAAGAAAACCTGCTCCTTGGAGAGTCCAGGTTCCCGCTGGCGTTTGTTAAACGTGTGATGGAAGGAAGATGAGAAGCTAAAGTCGGAGGCTGTCAGGCTGAGTGAGAGCCAACGCTGTCCCGTGGCTCCTGTGTTAAGAGGGCAGGTGACGTCCAGCTTTCTAAACGGATCCAAACCCAGGCCGGTGGCTTGTTCTCCCGGGACCAGGTTTGCCGCAGGCAGACCCACCAACACCCAGCTGCTTGGCCTGGTGGCTCGAAATCGCATGGGAGGGGCCTCCCCCAGACAGTGGTTTCCTAACCCACCCCGAAAGAGGGCTCTGGAATCCCAGCGTTCTGACAAGGAGGCGTCTTTACTGTTATTTATTTCTGTAAAAATACTAATACTGTGTTTCAAAGTAAGGCAGGCTGCATGGGGTTTGTCTGCACTCTGTGCCACAGTAAACACAGTTTACGTAATCGGTGATTCCACCGCACTGTCAAATCCGTTGATAAACACATTATAAAGCAGCTTCATTTATAGTTGATGAAATTGGAAATCTGAGTCGTTTACAGGAAGAGCTGAGCCATGAACGGAAGCTGCCATCGCAACACCGTTTCTTTAGGAAAATCAGATTCCCTGGAGACGATTTTCACGGTGTGGGTTTGCTGGGGCAGCCGTCACCAAGGCCACAAGCTGAGTGGCTTCAGACAGCAGACAGTCATTCTCTCACTGTTGCGGAGGCCAGAGGTCCAGAGTGGAACCAGGGTGTCGGCAGGGCCGTGCGCCCCTGAGGCTTCGGGGGTCGTCCGTCCCGTGCTGTTCTCTCAGCTTCCGGTGGGGTTGGCCTCTGCGTCCTCCACACCAGGCTCTGCCTGTGTCACCACAGCCTCTTCTCCGTGTGTGTCTCTGTCTCTTCTCCTCTTGGAAGGACACCAGTCACTGGATTCAGGGCCACTCTAATCGAGTCTGACCTCACTTTAACCTGGTGGCAGCTGCAAAGACCCTATTTCTAAATGAGGTCACACTCACAGGGACCGGGGTTAGGACTTCAGCACATCTCTCTGAGGGACACGTGCAACCCACATTTTGGGCAGCACCTACTCCAATTTACAGAGGATTTTAAGGGCATATAAACTGCCGGGAATCCCCAGATCCAGCCTGGATGGTGACAGAGTGCTGTCCTCACCACGGAACATTCTAGACTAGTGCTGGCTCTCGATGCCTTGAGTGTAGTTGGTCTGAACTGAGATGTGCTTCATACTAACCTATCAGATTTGGAACTCTTAGTACCAAAAAGAGAGTGTGAAATATCTCTTTAATGTATCTCTCTATATATAGATTCCATGTTGAAATGATAATATTTTTGATATAACAGCTTTTATAAAATAGCTTATTAAAATTATTTTAAGGGGCCGGCCCCGTGGCCTAGTGGTTAAGTTCGGCACACTCTGCTTTGGCGGCCCAGGTTCAGTTCCCAGGGGTGGACCTACACCACTCGTCAGCCATGCTGGGGCGATGTCCCACATACAAAATAGAGGAAGACTGTCACAGATGTTAGCTCAGGGACAATTTTCCTCAGCAGAAAAGAAAAAAAAAATTATTTTAAAAATCTAAGAGTTGCCTGCAATTACAATTCCAGACCACAGAGAAAAAGCAGAGACAAGGATGGATAGAAAAAGAGACTGTGGGTCAAAGTGAGTGTGGAATACGATCAACAGAGGTGACAGGAGGCAGCTAGCACATAGTAGGTCTTCAGTTAATACCCTCCCCCCCCTCCCCTCCCGAGGGAGGTGTGCCCGTGTGGGATGTGTCCCCGGTCCCAGTGGTCAGGGAAGACGTCCTCGGTGAGTCAGCCTGTGAACTGGGGGTTGCAGCAGGAGATCGTTAAGGCCAATAATGCTACCGTGCCAGCGTCATGTCATACGGAGGGGGATTAACTCACTGGTTCCTCCCACTGGCCCTCTGAGGTGGGAAGTGTCCCCAGTTTACAGATGGAGGCACTAGAGGCTCGAGAAGCGTGGTCACCTGCCCCAGGTCACTGGCTGGTGATATAGCTGGGTTTTCACCGTGGCTCTGGTCGGATGGGGTCGGGGCTCCCGCCCACTCTGATTGCTCTCTCTCTCTCCCCGCGTGGAGCCTCCCTCCCCGACCCCGAGGCCTTGAGAGCCTCATTCCTCTTCCCAAGCCCTGTGGATGCCTGCAGCTCTGGGCACATCTCTGGGAGCTGCAGGGACCGGGGCCAGAAATGCCCTGACTGGGAAGGGCCGTGAAGAGCCGCCTGGGGTTCCCAACGCCTGAGACGTGAGGCAGGTGATGGACGTGAGGGGAGGGTCCAGCGCCAGGTCTGGCCGACGGCTGCCAGTGGGAGTGTGCCCCCTCCCCACGGCCACGTGTCCCAGGAGTGAGTGTGGTGTGGAGGCGAGAGCGTGGGCTCTGAGCCGACCTGACGCTGCTCAGCCAGTTCCTAGACCCCTCGGCCTCCCTGTGCTCGGCTGTAAGGTGGGGTCACAGTGGTCTCTGCTTTCTAACGTCGCCATGAGGAACAAGTAGCTTATCATGTAAGTGTGTCCCCCGCAGTGCCTGGTGCCCGAGAAATGTTCAATAACTATCAGCTGTTATTTCATCATAAAAAGCTGAAATCCATATTTTTATGGAAAATATCCTAGTTTTTAAATGTGGATCAATGATTTCAACTTTTACAAACCGAAGATGAACCACTATGGCCCCTGGGGCACCAACTTGCAACCTCTGCTTAGAACTTTGCCGACAGGGAGTGGTGTCCTGCGAAATGTTTGCTGTGCCCCAGGCCTGGCTGGTGGGACGGGGCCGGTGGACACGCTGGAGGATGAATGAGCGAATGGAGAAATGGAGGAATGAGTGGATGAAAGGATGACCAAATGAATGTTGGATGGACGGATGAATGCGTGAATGAATGATGCTGAACAAAGGGAGAAGGAATGAACCAGTGAAGAGCAACAAACAGACGAATGCAGTGGAAGGTTTGCAAGGAGAGGTATTTTAGAAGGTAACATCAATCCACCCAGAACTGAGCTCTGACCTCCTCCCAAACCAGTCCCCTCTCAGTGCAGGGCAGCTGTGTCCCTCCAGGGGCTCACGACAAGAACCTGGGCCCTCCCTCCCTCACACCCACACTTGATCCATCAGCAGATGTTAACATCTGCCTTAAATAGTGCATCCCAAACCTGCCCACTCCTCCCCCATCTCAGCACCATGGAGGCCAGCCCCGGTCATCACTTGCCTGGACTGATGCAGTCTCCTCCTCCCTGGCCTCACCCTCTGCAGTCTGTTCCCCCACAGCAGCCAGAGGGCGCCTGTGAGCACCTGAGGCAGATCAGGTCCCTCCTCTTCTCAGAACTTTCCGTGGCTCCCACCTCACTCAGCGCAAAAGTCAAAGTTCTCCCCGTGGCCCAGAAGGCTCTGCTCAGTCTGCACTGTCCCCTCCCTGCCCTTACCTCTTCCTTCTCTCCTCCTCAACCACAAGCCACACTGGCCTCCTTGTGCTGTTCCTCAAATATGTCAGGCAGGCACATTCCTGCCTCAGGATCTTTGCACATGCTATTTCTCTCTGCCTAAGATTCTAAGATGATTTAAGTCAACACCTTCACCTTGACCACTCAACTGAATACTGCAGCCTGCCCCAGGGCCCTGCTGGGGCTCCCAATCCCCTTAGGCTACTCTATTTTTTTCTTTTTCCAAAGCACTTTTCACCATCCACCACATTATTAGTTTACTTATTTATTATATTACTTTTGTTGTCTGGCTCCCCTACTGGAGCATTGGTCCCAGGAGGGCAGGGATCTGTCTGTTAACTCGTGTATCCTGAGCACCTGGAACAGAGCCTGGCACACAGTAGGTGCTCCATAAATGCTTAAGAGCAAAAATATGTGCAGACAGAGGGCACAGATGGCTCATTCTTTGGTGATCATTTCTAAAGTGAAGTGTCCACAGAAAGCTAGGGCCCCATGCACACCTCCTCCTGGAGGCTTTCCAAGCATACTCTGTGCAGCTCTGCTGCCCACCCCTGCACGGGGGTCTGGAGCAGATCCTGCCTCAGCCCACCCTGTGGCATGACCCCCAGAGTCATCAGACGTGGCCAGGAGGGGAGACACAGAAAGTTGGCTCTGGCAGTGGGGAGCCATCAGCCTCTGCACTGACACCCAAGCTCTCATTGGCTGTTTCCAATGCTGTTATTTTGGGGGGCATCGCCTTCCGGTAAGCTCCATCTCTGGAAAGCTAAGCACAGGGGTCATGATGGTTCCCTCGGGCCAGAGGGTTCGCTGGGGAGGCCAATGGATCCCTGGCCACAATCCGTGCCTGGGCCGTGCATCAGTTCATTTCCTCCGCGGGAACGTCCTGACATTCTCCATCCTTCCCCCGGCAGGGTCTCCCTTCGCCAGAGCCAGCATTAAAAGTGCCAAGCTGGAGAACTCGACTTTTTTTCACAAAAAGGAGAGGAGGATGCGTTTCTACATCCGCCGTATGGTCAAAACTCAGGCCTTCTACTGGACTGTGCTCAGTCTGGTAGCCCTCAACACGCTGTGTGTCGCTATCGTCCACTACAACCAGCCCGAGTGGCTCTCCGACTTCCTCTGTGAGTACCGCCTGCCCGCCCACCTGATCCCTTCCTCACGCCCTTTCTCCTGCTCTCCTCCTCGGGTGGTGTAGTTTCTTCGTTGGTCCTTGTCAAATCTGCCCTTCCATTGGGCCGTGTCTGTGGCTGGGGTTGGGCTGATGTTGGTGCTGCCACAAGAACAGAGCCCCCCTTCTTTGGATCTGAGAGCTGAAAGCTCAGGCCACCAAACACCCCGGTGAGCCCTCTCTAAGAGAGAGCCCTAGGGGTGCTGGGGAAGGGGCTTTGGAAGAGAGAGAGAGTGCGGCAGAGACCGCCCGGCAGCCACACAGACAGAAACACACATGCAATTTCTAGGTATGTCTCTGGGAATGTTAAAATAAATAGCTTGTGGTTGAGAGATGGGATGCGTTAGGGACAGAGTGACCTGTATGTTGTCCCCATCTTCCCTGCTCGTTTCTGACTCTCTGCTTCTCCCCTTTTCTTTCAAACCTTCTTCTTCTTTCCCCTTTCCCCTCCTGCCCTTGTTGACTTCCTTATGTCTGGGATTCATTCCTAGAAGATCCCCTCCAACAAGTGTGAGAGCATCTTGCCTGCTCTGTGGGTACCAGGACCCCCAAGGCTTTGCCATTCTGGGCCTATTTGCAGATTCTAGGAATTAGCATGAGATAGACTCAGAATTGATGGTCAGGTAGGCGTCAAGAGAAGTGGTGAAATGTGGGCAGACGTCTGGTCAGGATTTCAGAAGTAAAGAGCTCTGAGGAATCAACAAGAGTAGTGACTGGGCAGTGAGGAAGGCAGGTGGATGCCCTGGCTCTGGCTTGTGGGCCCCAGGTGAGGACTTCCCAAAACCTTCCTGCCCTCTGGCTGCCCCCCCTCTGCATCTACTGGCTTGTCTGACTTAGGTCTGTGGATTCTCTGCCCTCCTGATCTAGTTCAGAATTGACGCAGCCAGCCCCTGGGGACAGTCGAGTCTTCAGCCTGGGAGCCTGGTCCAGGTCACTGTCTTCTTGTAACCCTCATTGTTCCCAGTCATGTTGGCTGACCCCCCCAGGGCACCCCGCAGGGGCCAGCTCCCCTTCCGAGAGCCCTGACCTAGCTCCAGCCTTGGTAATTGCATTTGGTCCCCCTGGAGTCTCTAATAAATGAGGACTCTTAACTTCTTGTCTACCCTCCCCTGAGAGTCTATTTTAATCTCCCATATTCTCCCCACTGATCACCTCCCTCTGTCTGTCCTGGTTCAGGAACAGAGGGTTGGGACTTCCTGCCTGGGCCTCTGTGTCTCTAAAGGTCCTTTAATTATCCCCATTTTCCAGTTGAAAAAACTGTGACACAGAGAGGTTAAGTGACTTGCCCAGGGTCACACAGCCAGTAATTACTGAAGCCAGGATTTGAACCCCGAGTCCAAGCTGTGCCTGATGGCACATCCCTGCCCTGATCACCAGGTGACCTGAGTTCTCAGTGTCTGCTCTGCCCCTAACTCTCCACGTGACCTTGGGCAAGTTATTACCATCATCCGTCAATCAAAGACATCTTCAATTGTAAGGCGCTCTTTTATTTTATGTGCCACTAAGAAACAAAACAGTGCTGCTGTCTAAATTAGGATATGCCACTTTTAAGGTACAGCCCAATCTCAGAGACGTCAAAATGTGAACAAAAATCTGTGTTTTGGCATCGATGAAGGTACTGGTGTCTCTGGTCTCACGTTCCTCGTCTGCACTGGGTGGAAATTGGATTTGCTGGCCCTGAAGTTCCTCCGGACCCCCCAGTGCTCCACACAAGTCATTCCCTCAGGTCTTGTGTATCACCAGCTGTCACGTTTCCATGGTAACCAGGGAACAAGCCTCTCAGAACCTTGTACATCCTCCCAGAGCTGCTTCTGGAGGCTCCTGGGACGCACCAGACGTGTGGACAGATTTCCCTCGTGAGGTTTTAGTCCTGGAGGTCCTGGGGACCCTGGCGTTTCCCTCGGGCCCTAGGAGCTTCCTGGAGTCCTGAAGCCAAGGGGAAGTTTCCGTCAGGAATGAGCAGGAAGGACCTCGACAGTCGGTTCAGACCATCTCTTAAAGGGATGACACACACACACCCTTGACCCTCACACAGGATTAGCTACGTGACCAAAATTGAAGTTGTTGGAAGTGTGGATCCTCATTCCTCCCTTTCTGTATGCTTTCCTGCCCTCAGAAACCCTCCTTGCCTCCGCTCCCGTCCGTCAGGGGAGTCCCCACACCCCTCCTGACTCCTCGTCTTCCCACCCCACCCAGGAAGCCTTCCCAGGACAGGACCTGCTGTCGGATGTTTCTTTGCCGGAGCAAACAGACACTGTGTTACCCTTACGCTTTCTCACCAAAGAGCAACAGGCTTTCTCTTCTCAAGACCTTTAGACGTCGGCAAGACAGGGCGTCCAGGGAGCGTCGGGTGGGTTTGCCAAGTCGGGAGAAAGGCCGGGCCCTAGATCCCCTGCCTGTGGTGCTCAACTGAGGCCCTAACAAGGATCACTAACAGGACACCACTGTGATTGCTGTCTCTGTTGTTCCTTTGGAGCTCAGGCGTATAAAAGTGGAGTCATCATAATTTTTATATTATGACACACTGGTGCCCATGCATGGCCCTTGTTATTTTGTTAGTTAGCCAGTCAGTTAGTCAGTCAGTCAGTCAGTCAGTTAGTTTTTCAAATGTAGTAAGCACCCAGGAACCCGCCACCCAGCACAAAACGTAGGTCCTTGACAATAACTTACATCCAACTCTTCTCATCAAACCAGGGCAAAAACTACAAGATGGAGACCCCCTGAACTTTGTCTCGCTCCTTTTAAGACTGGCGTGGGGGTGATGGGTTGGAGGGTGGGGCGATTGGCGCTCTTCCTCTGTACTAGACGGGCAGCGGAGGCCCAGGGCGGGGCAGGCTTGCATAGTCACCCAAGACCGTGGGCTCTCTGCCGGCCTGCCAGGACAGACGGGGGCGGGGTGCAGTTCACAGGAGAGTCGGAGCCGCCTGGAGCCACATCCCCAGCAAAACTAACCTCCTCTCTGCCCCCCCTTCTAGACTATGCAGAATTCATTTTCCTAGGACTCTTTATGTCCGAAATGTTTATAAAAATGTACGGGCTTGGGACGCGGCCTTACTTCCATTCCTCCTTCAACTGCTTTGATTGTGGGGTAAGTGTTCCGGTTTCTGGGGGCCCTGTTTCTCCAGCTCTTGCTTAGAATGGCTGATGCCTGGGGACGTGCAAAGGGGGGCGTGCAGTCCCCCCGGATATGAGAGACGGCTGAATGCAAAAGGATGAGAGGACACCCTCAGACACTGGCGGGGAGGCAGAGAGCCCAGATGTCACAGCCAGGCCCGGGGGGGGTGTGGACCGTCTGGAACACGGTGTAGCCTGGCGATTCCACTGCCAGGGCTGCACCCCAGACAGACTCGCACGACGCCCAGGGGACGCGCACGAGAGTGTCTGAGCAGCCTTGCTTGTAGTGGCCCCAAACCAAATGACCCGAATATCCCTCTGCGGTAGGATGGATAAATAAGTTGTGGCATCGCCACGTAATGGAGTACTCAGCAGCAGCCGCCACACCCAACAGCAGGGTGAATCTCACCGCAGAGTACCGACGCTGACATCAGTCCATACAGCAGGATTCCGCTCGTGAAAGTCAGAGGGACCAAACTAACCTGTCTTGGTTAGGAGGGATACTTAAATACTTTAAAAAGGCAGAGACCTCAAAAACATTATGCTCAGTGAAAGAAGCCAGACACAAAAGGTCACATATTGCATAATTCCATTTATATGAAAGTCCAGAACAGGCAAATCCGTAGAGACAGAAAGTGGATTAGCGGTTGCCAGGGGCGGGGGGAGGGAATGGGGGGGACTGCTCATGGGGACGGGGTCTCCTTTGAGGGTGATGGAAATGTTTGGAACTAGATAGAGGTGACGTCTGGACAACATTGGGAATGTATGAAATGCCACTGATTTGTGTGCTTAAAATGGTTAATTTTATGTTATGTGAATTTCCTCTCAATTTTTTTTTTTTTAAAGATTTTATTTTATTTATTTTTCCCCCAAAGTCCCATTACATAGTTGTCTGTCATAGCTGCACATCCTTCTAGTTGCTGTATGTGGGATGCGGCCTCAGCATGGCTGGAGGAGTGGTGCCTCGGTGCGCACCCGGGATCCGAACCCGGGCCGCCGGCAGCGGAGAGCACGCACTTAACCGCTAAGCCACAGGGCCGGCCCCTCCTCTCAATTTTTTTTAAAGCAAGGAAATAGTATTACAAAATTCAGGATGGTGGTTGTGTGCAGGGGTCCCCGGAGGCTTCTGGGGTGCTGACATGTCCTATTTCTCGATGTGGGTGGTAGTTACATGGGCATCCGCTTTGTAATTGTGTGTTTCAGGAAATCTTTGCTGTCGTGAGCTCTTAATAAATTTTTTAAAAGGGACGAGGGTGGCCTGAGCCCTCGCCCTGCTTCCGTTTGGGGGTGGCAGTGGGGCTGGGTTCCTGCAGGGTTCGGGCTCAGGGCGTGTTTGCAAGGACCCTGGACACAAGACGGGGTCCTCGCCTCCAGGTCATCATCGGGAGCATCTTCGAGGTCATCTGGGCCGTCATCAAGCCCGGCACGTCCTTTGGAATCAGCGTGTTGCGAGCCCTCAGGTTATTGCGCATTTTCAAAGTCACAAAGTAAGTCTTGGGGTTCCCTGGCGTTCCAGGGGTGGGGACGGGGGCCCGGGTGGGGCCGCCTCCGGCGTGGGGGGGGGTGGGCTCGGCCGGCCCGGCCTGACGGCGCCGCCGGCCGCTGCTGGCAGGTACTGGGCGTCTCTCAGGAACCTGGTCGTCTCTCTTCTCAACTCCATGAAGTCCATCATCAGCCTGCTCTTCCTCCTCTTCCTGTTCATCGTCGTCTTCGCCCTCCTGGGAATGCAGCTCTTCGGCGGCCAGTAAGTGCCCAGCTGACGCTCCGACCCCTGCTTCCCTGGGGTCTGGCGCCCCCTCGGACCCAGGCCCGCCTCCCTCCTGCAGATGCCCCGCGCTCTCACGCAGACAGGCGGAGCCGTGGGTGCCACTCGGGGTGTCCTTCTGGGGGACAGAGACGCTGGAGATGTCGCCCTGGAGAAGAGAGCGGGGCCCAGACCTCGGAGCTCCTGGAGCAGAGCCAGCGTGCAATTCTGTGTCCTCCCCGCAGGTTTAACTTCGATGAAGGGACTCCTCCTACCAACTTTGACACTTTTCCAGCAGCAATAATGACGGTGTTTCAGGTACAGCCTTCACCCGGCCCCACGCCACGCAGGGCCACACGGGGCAGCACCAGGTCGTCAGGGGGCAGAGGGAGGGGGAACGTGGGGCTTTCCTGTGGTTTCCGCGGCAAGGAACAGGCGAGGCCAGCCAAGCGGGTTTAGGATCAGCTGGTGTGAATGATTTCAGCGGGCTCTGGGGCACGGGGCTGTCCCAGGTTGTCTGGTGCCCAGCCCTGGGTGACCAGGGCCTGAGTGTGAGAGCCCCACGGGGCAGGTGCCGGGGGTGTGGTCTCTGGAGGGGCCGGTGTGCATTTGAAAAGCACGCTCATGGGCAAGTTGTTCCCTGTCTGTAGGAATTAGCAATCCCTGACTCTTCCAGCGTCAGGATACAGAAAATAAAAGCCATGGTTACTACACGCATCCTCCCCCAGATTGAAGACACCCGGATCCCGTGTCCCAGGGCAGAGATTGGCCGTGGGTGGTCTCCCCAAACCAGCTCTGCACCCTGTGGCACACACCCTCGGGTTGGGACTGGCCTCGCTGGGACCTCCAGAGCCTGTCCAGTGGGTTCTGTCTCTTAGGGGACAGAGAGTGTATGAAAACGTGGCTTCACTCCCCCCTTCTCCTGGTGGGTAACTTCTCAAGGAGACCCTGAGAGAGGGGTTTGGAAAGGGAGCCATCCGTGAACAAAGTTCTGAGCCCTCACATAAATTATTGTTGATGGTCAGAATCACCACCCATGTATCTTCAGCACAGAGGTTCTGGCCCCAGAGCAATTCTGTCCCCCAAGGACACTCGGAAGTGTCTGGAACCATTTTCAGCTGTCACAGCTGGGGGTGGGGGTGCTCCTGGCATCTAGTGGGTGGAGGCCAGGGGTGCTGCTCAACGCCCCAGAGTGCCCAGGGTGGCAGGAGGGCCCCAGGTCAGCCGTGCCGAGGCTGAGAAACCGTGGCTTAAGGGATTCATGTTTCGGAGTCCTTTCACAGTGACTTTATCCTCGTGGAAATATACCCAGGAGGGAAGTTGGATTTTTTTTTTTTAACAAGCGTGTGGGTGCCACACGCATGTCCCCTCCGTCCTTCCCATGAGCGTCAGTGCAGTTTCTACCTGCCAGCGTCCCTTTGCCGGAGCTTTCTCTGGTCCCCAGCACCCACTCTGCCCCCCGGCACAGCGGTCCAGAAGGACCAGTGAATTTGTTGCTTAAACCACAGACATTTATTTCTCTCAGTTCTGGGGACTGGAAGTCCGAGATCACGAGCCTGCAGGGTCGGTTCCTGGTGAGGACTCCCCTCCTGGCCTGTGGACGGCCGCCTCCTCGCTGTGTCCTCACAGGGCAGAGAGCCAGCGAGCTCTCTGGTGTCCCTGCTCATAAGGGCACCGATCCCATCGTGAGGGCCCACCCGCCTGACCTCCTCTAGCCCTGATCACCTCCCATCTCCAAATACCATCACATGAGGGTTTAGAGCTTCGACGGATGAATGTGGGGGCACAGCTCAGTCCAGGCAAACCCCCGTGTCACACCAGGGAAGAGAGTTACAGAAAGATCTGTGAGCCCCCCAGGGTCACCGTCTCCTAGGAGTGGAGACGAGAGCCCCTCAGCACAGGGACAGCCCTTTCCCCTCGCAGACAGACGAGACCCCGCAGACGAGGGCCGAGGAGGGGCCCACATGGGCGGTGCCGGCTCCACAGCTGCGTCTCCGAGGGGCGCGTGGCTGAGGGGGGGTTGGCTGTGTGTCTCTCCCTCCCTTTCAGATCCTGACGGGCGAGGACTGGAACGAGGTCATGTATGACGGGATCAAGTCCCAGGGCGGCGTGCAGGGCGGCATGGTGTTCTCCATCTACTTCATCGTGCTCACGCTCTTCGGGAACTGTATCCTCGGGGGCGAGGGCGCGCCTGGGCTCTGCAGAGCGGAGGGGGCGCGGGGGGCTCGGGAGACCCCGAATCCGGGGTGCGAGCGGCAGTGCTTTCCCTGACTCCAGCGTCCGCAGACACCCTGCTGAACGTGTTCTTGGCCATCGCGGTGGACAATTTGGCCAACGCCCAGGAGCTGACCAAGGTGGAGTTGGCGGGAGAGGGTTTCTCGGGCAAAGTCGCCACCTGCCCGCGGCAGCTCAGGACCGTGCCGGGCATGGGGGCGGGACGGGGTCAGAGCTGTGGCCCTGGATGCTCGGGGCCGGGGAGAACCGTCCCTAACCTCGCTGGGTCTACGGCGAGGGAGGCGGGAGGTGGCCAGCCGCAGAGTCACCACAGGACGCAGACAGCAGACTCCGCCGGAGCGCCCGTTACAGGGGGGCCTGCAAGCAAGGTGCGGACCAGGCTAGCGGGCACTGTCGCAGCCCACACCGCAAAGGACGAGACAGACACACAGTAGCCCGCACGGGGTCCTGAGGCCGAGGCACGTCCCGGCGAGCCTGGGAGCTGGCGGACGTCACCGCCGCGTGGGAGCAGGAGAGAATTATATGACGCCCGTGGTGCCGGGTGTTGCCGTTATCTCCCTTTCACAGAAGGGGAAACTGAGGCTCGGAAAGGCAAAGTCACCGGCCCCTGGTGGCGTGATGATGGCAGCTACTATTTATAGCATGCCAGGCGCTCGGCACAGTTCTTGGTACACAGTAAGTGCTCAATAAAGGGAGCCTCTGTGAGTCACTTGGCACGAGCAGGGATGTGGACCTAGAACTCTCATCACAGAGCTGGTGAAGGGAGGGCTGGGATCCGAACCCGACCTGAGTCCACCCACACGCCCTGCCGGCTTTCATCTGACCCCAGCTGAGCAGGTAACAATCAAGATAAGAATAACGAGCACAGGAAATGTGGCTGCCCTTCTTGTGTGCCCGACGCCAAAAACCCTAGGAGACAGGGAGTTGCTGCATCCACATTTTACAGATGGGGAAACTGAGGCACAGAGACATTAAGCTACCCCACCACATAGCTAGGACCTGAAAGAGCAGAGATGTGACCCCTCAAAGAGCAGAAAAGAGAGAAGAGCAGAGGAAATGAGGTCAGAGGAGAATTTGGGGGTTTGGGGGAGAACCATCCATGCGAGGAGAAGCCCAGTTTTCATTCATGGTCCGTGATGTTGAACTATCTAGGAAAAACCTGGTGCCGGGAGACCCTTCGGGCAGCCTTGGGCTCCGTGGGACTCAGGTCCACCCCAGCTAGGCACAGAGGAGGCAGCATTGCCTTCAGTAGCACAGCTCACACCCCTGGGATAGCCCTGAGCAGGGCCGCCGGGAATGGCTGTACAGGTTGTGCACTGCACAAAGGACGCCGGGCACCTGTCTGCAGTTTGAGAAGGGGGTGTCAGAACAAAGGCATCTCACGAGCCTTTCCCCACAGCCCCATCACAAGAGAACGTGTGCAGTCTTCCTGCCAGCCCGGGAGGCAGGCCTGGGCCCCCCTCAGCTTTCGCAGTCCCGTCCGCAGCACCTCGGGGCGTTCAGGACGTGCTCATGGAACTGAACCGAACTGAGCAGACGTTGCCAGCCCTCCGTCTGCCAGCCCTGGCGGGAGGGAGAGCGAGTTTCCTGGGCCCAGCTCCAACTGGGGAAACGGAAGTCTCCACCACCCCAAGCCAGCGCCACGGCCTGGCCTCCGCGGAGCCGGCTGGCGTGGCTGCGCCGGGGCTCATCCAGCCGTGAGCTCCTCCAGGTTCCCAGGTCCCATCCCGGGGGCTGGCGTGGGGGACAGGGGACGCCAAGAGGGCAGGAGAAGGGGAGGGAGAGAGGCAAGCTCGTCTCCCGTGAGGTGTGGACGTGCCCTAGACCCACGTTCTTTCCTTTGTTTATAACACAAACCCTCTTGGGCATTAACACGTGGCAGGCACCCCGCTAAGCCCCTGACGTGTTTTCATCTCACTTAATCTTCACAGAAACCCTGGCAAGTTCTCTGAGCCTCATTTTACACATTTTGTCATTTATTCAAAAGCATTTATTAAGCACCTACAGTGAGCAAGGCCTGGTCTAGGAGCCAGGGACCCAGCAGTGAAGAGAACAGGCAGAAGTCCCCCCCTCATGAGGCTGACAGTCGAGTGGGAGAGGCAGACAAGGAACAAATTTGTCAGATGGTGATAAGCGCTAAGGAGAAAGTGAAGGGAGAGTTGGGGAGGGTTGAAATTACAGATGAGGAATGTGAGGTACAGAGAGGTTAAGTGACTCGCCTGAGGTCACACAGCAGTAACTGAAGGAGCTGGGATTTGAATCTAGGACCTGTGCCTCCAACTCCCTGCTTAACAGTGTGCATGTTTCATATTCACCTGGGAGCTTGCTGAAAATGCAGCTTCCAGGGCCCAGCCCGGGTTCTGCGGGAGTCCTGGGAGTTTGCATCTGCAGTGTTCTGAGGCAGGCGGGCCAGGGACCCGGCTCTGAGAAATGCTGGTGTGGTGCCAGGAGGAGGGGAGGCCTGGGGAGAGCAGGGTGGCCGGCCAGGCCCCATGCTGTGCTGTCTCTGGCAAAGTGGCCTGATCTGCCCACCCCGAGGTGCTAAGGTTGCTTCTGGCCCCGAGACCCCAGCGCAGGGGGCGGGGCGCCCGGCCAGCGCATGGCTGTCCCATTGGCGGGTCTGTCTCTGGCCATTTCTTTCTCGTTGCTTTTTCTTTGCTTTTTCTTTGTTGGCCTTTCTGTTTTGCGAATGAGGCCGTGCATGAAGGCTGAAGAAGGATTTAAAGCCCCAAAACGTCTTTTTCTGTATGTATTTTTAAAACCTATTCCCCCATCCTCCTCCTCTCTGAACCTAACCGGCCAAGAATATAAGTTCCTCGCCCGAGTCCCCTTCGGAGGCTGTTGGCTGTGCATGAGGGGCCGCGGGTGCCGGGGCTTTCTGCACGTGGGGGCCAGTTGGCGTTTTCTCAAAGTCTCAGTTCAGAGAGCTTAAACGGCCCAGAAAGTGGAGAGAGGAAAATCTTGGCATTAATTTCCAGTTCATCAAGACAGGGTGCAGAAAAGTCGCCATTGTGGGAAGAGAAGGGAGTCTTTTTTCCTTTTGTTTTCTTCTGGCTGCGTGTTACGGCAGGGTCGATATCGAGCTGATGGAGCCTGCACACGGAGGGGAGAGCGGCACCTTAGCCGACACCGGGCGCCCCTTCCAGTCGGTGGGCCTGGGCTCCGAGTGGCCCACACACAGGCGAAACCTGTCTGTGAAGACTTCCGGTGTCGCCCCTGGTTAGCGGCAGGGTCAGAGGTGAGGCCCCAAGGCCCCGTCGTGTTTTGTGAACAGGGATCCCATGTGCGTTTCAGGATGAACAGGAAGAAGAGGAGGCAGCCAACCAGAAACTCGCCCTCCAGAAAGCCAAGGAGGTGGCAGAAGTGAGTCCTCTGTCCGCAGCCAACATGTCCATAGCTGTGTAAGTGCCCCCGCTACCTCCAGCTGTGCCCTCTGGGCTGCCCAGCCTCGACACCCTCCCAGTCAAGCATTTGGGGGCAGGGAGGGGTCCCCGACAGGGCTGAGCTTTAGGAAGAGGCACTTCTGTCCTCCCACCTATTTGTACTCAGTAAATAGTTAATATGCACCTACTGTGTGCCCGGCACAGTTCTGGCTGCTGGGGATACAGCGTTAACAAGGGGTTAACGGGTGTAGGGAGGGCCAGGGGTGAAGCGAGTTGTGACTTTAAATAAAGCTGTCAGGGAAGGCTTCTCTGAGGAGGTGACAAGGCCTGGAGGAGGTGAGGGAGGAGCTGCAGGAGGATCTGAGGGAAGAGCATCCCAGGCAGTGGGAACAGCATATACAAAGGTCCTGAGGCAGGAACATGCCTGATGTGTTTAGGGGATATGAAGGGGGCCAGCGTGACTGAAGAGGAGTGAGCGAGGGGAGAGAGTGAGAGGAGACGAGGGCAAGGAGGAGAACTTCGACTTTTGCTCTGAGTCAGGCGGGAGCCGTGGAGGGTTCTGAGCAGAAGGACAGGATCTGACTGAGGTGCTCACAGGCGCCCTCTGGCTGCTGTGCAGGGAACAGACTGTGGGTGGTGAGGACGGGCGGGCAGGAGCCAGGAGACCAGGTTGGAGATGACTGCATTGGTCCGTGCAGAAGAGACAGTGAGGGCTGCACCAGGGCAGAGGCCAAGGAGGTGATGGGTGTAGCCGAATATTAGACAGATCACGAAAGCAGAGCAAATAGAATCTGCTGGTAGATCAGAGGTGGTGAGGTGGTGAGAGTTAAGGTGTCCGGATAAGGGAGGTTCGTGGCACCAGTATTCTGGTTTCTGCCTTTGTTGGTGGCCCCGGGGTTTTGCACAGCTGCAGCCTGGCCAGCACTCCTGCAGCAGACCCGCTGGCTCTTTGCACCGGCGGGAACGTAGGCACCACCCCAGACTCCTGAGAGCCCACCTGGCTCTTCCTGGGACCCCCAGATGTCCTCCTATCCAGAACTAAAGGGTCGTGCAGACACCACAGGGGCCTCTGAACCCTGCTGCAGGCCGGTGTCTGTTCAGATTGGCTGTCTCAGAGGTTAAAATGTTTTGAACATCGAGACTGCTCCTGGGGGAGCCTGTGCTACAGTTCGCAGAGGAGTGGGAAGTGCTCGCCTCAGCAGCACAGGTACCAAGAGGAGTGGAGAGAGGGACGGGGACACCCTCCTGGGCTGAGACCCCATTAGACCAAAATGCCCAGCCAGACCAAGATGCGTTAGTGGACCGAGACACCCTCCTGGGCCAAGACACCTGGAAGGCCGAGAGGTCCAGTCAGGTTGAGTTTTCCACACAGGTACACACCTTGTTGTGCAGAGATGCCCAGCCAGGCCCTGATGCCCACCCGGGCCCTGATGCCCACCTGGGCCGAGATGCCCACATGGATGAAGACGCCCACCTGGGTGGTGATGCCCACCTTGGTGGAGTTGCCCACTGGGCCGAGATGCCCA